TTTGTGGGGAGCGCACGGCCCCTATAAAAAAAACCTGTCCAAAAAAAAAAAAAAAAAAGAAAAGAAAGAAAAACCAAAAAGAATAATGAGCTGGGATGGAACAGAATTGTCTCAAAACATCCTAGAAAACAAAACCAACAGGACTCAGTAACATAGAATCATATATGGACAGTTTTGGGATATTTCCAATTCTCTTACACAAAGTCCACTGCTAAGGTCTGCATAAGAAACTTGTGTATCCAATACTTATTTTTCTACTTTCTTATTGAAACAACTCTGATCCTACTTGTGATATTATTGTGTCCAATTAAAAAAATCCTAGGTTCTCTGGTAGTCGGAAGGTGGTCATAAGGCAAGTTCTGGCTATTAGGATACAAATGCAATTTGTTGGGTGGTATTACCAAGAAAACTTTTTAGAGGAGCATGTGCCCTTCTGCCATTGCTCCTACCTTCTTCCAGCCTCAAAAGTAGCAGGATGATGGCTGGAGCTCTAGCAACCATGTTGGGGCCATAAGCCAACCATGCTGACTATCTGAGCAGAAGAAGGAGCCTAAGTCTTTGATGACATCGTGACACCACCACACCAGCCCTCTACTGCCTATCTTTAGAATACTAGAGGCATTTCATGTGAGAGAAGACAAATGCCTTCTTTAAGTGACTATTTTGGCCAGCCAAGTGAAGTTCCTAGGACTTTAGCAACAGGAAGCAATATTATTCACTTCATAATTATTTTCATTAATGACCGAAATCCAAAACGTTAAACCCTCATCAAGGTGCCTAGTCCAACAGTAAGCAACTGCTAGTGTATATATATATTGTGGAGACTTTTGTTTGTTTCTTTCTCACTTGTTCTCACACCACAAGCCCAGTTCCTCACTTCAGCCAGCTATCTGCCTTCTGATATTGACTTATATATTAACTGATCTGAAGAGAGTTAGTTTGGAGGAGGGCTGGCTGTTTTATTTAGAGTAGGACTCTTGAAGAACAAACTTGTGTGGAGGGATAAACGGAGTGGGTGGTTCCCATTTCCAAACAATGTAAAATCAGTAATAACTGGGCTGAATTTCTGTAGGCTCTTTCAATAAAGCACTTCACATACATCATCTCACTAGCTGAGGCCTGAGGGCCAGGAAAGAACTAACAAGTAACAGGGACAGGGTTCATTTTTCTGACTTGCACTTTCCCCATTTGTGTGCCAAAATGTATCTTAGGAACTTCTATGGGCATGAGAGAAGGGGCAGTGTCCATGAAAAATTTCATCAGATGTAGTTCAACAGGTAAGGAGGACTTTAGTGAGAACTGCAGTAGGAGAGAGAGTGACTGAAACAAAGGGAGGGGAACTTAAGCACTGAGATCAGCTAGTGGAAAAGTACCCAAGGGCAGCAGGGTGGGGAGACTGGTCAGTGTGATGAGGTCGCCTTCACTGGCTAACTGTAAGGTGTGGAAGTCGGGCTCCTACCCTCCAGAGATAGGGAGACAGAAGCACCACTTTCCTTGACAATTACACTTCAAAGGGATGCCTTCCAGGGACATCCCTGGTTTCTAAAATCTGGGAGAGGCTGGGAGATTAACATCTCAAAGGTCAGAGAAAGAATCCATAATGGAAACTTCGTTAATGCTCCAAGGCTAGGGAGTCAGGGATCTAGTTAGAAACCTGTGTAAATTAGTTTAGGGCCCTCTTGGGCAGAGGTCAGCGGCAGCATCCTACTTTATGATCCCATAAGTGAGGTCTCAAAGTCTCCAACTGGTCATTTTTGTCAGGTGGCAACTGTACCTGTGGACACACACACGGACTTGCTGGATGGTGGTCAGAGTTAGACCCTCACTTGGCTGGATGGCGATGATTCCCTCTGTCCCTGGGGAACTGAAGCCTGGTGGGATAGATGCCTGCAGTTTTCCAGCCCTGTCCCCATCCCTGACAGGACCTCCCAGGGCCAAGCGCATCTACTCCTTTAGGTGAAAAGAATATTTTCAGCTCATAGACGATTCCTTAAGACTTTGCAAGAGGGTAGCCTAAAGACAGAATCTGCTGACCGAGTTCTTCCAGAAATTACCATTAAAAAGCCAACCCAGTAAACACATGGCAGCCTGCGGCACAGAGGATAATGGAAATATCCTCGCTATTATTTCAGCTTGCCTAGGGGCTGAGCTTTGCTCTAAGGGGAGGTGACTGTGCTGACCTTAAAATCCAGGCCTGCAGAAGCAGGAGATGAAGGTATTTTATTTTTCCCTAAAGGCTTTGATGTTTTTCAGATAAAAATGTAAAAGATCCGGTATCTTCTCCTGAAGCTTCTTCGCAAAGTAGTGGATTTTCGGAAAAGACAAAGGCCTGGGGGTGGGGTAGGGGAGTCCCTAAAGAGCAGTGCCCTGAAGCCTCTTTTTCCTCCTTTTCAGAACATTATTTTTCTCAAACGTTTCCTCTCCGCACCAGCCTCTTCTCCTATTCTCCAAATGCAAATAGCTGGTTACTCCTCAGGTCCTGCGGACCACCTTTCCAGGTCCCCAATCCCTCCAAATACACCTAGCCCCTCTCATTTCCGTCGGCAGCTGTTTCTCCTGCCTGGTGACACGCCGGCGTGTAGGGGGCGGAGGAGGAGCGTCTCGGCCACACGGTGGCGCGCGCGCGCCTCTGAAAGCGGGTGGCCACCGCTCCGCACCTTCTCCCTCGCCAGCCCCCA